TTGCTCTGAATTCGTGGTATTCTCCTCGGGTGAATCGTATCATAGCACATGACTCAGCTGAGCACCTTGATCGCAATGACAGAAACGCGCATGCAACATTTCTCCGATTGACCTAGTTCGAAAGTCAATCGCGTTAATTCAGGAAAGATTCGTCAGCATCGATGCCCAGAAGTATCGTGAGAGGAATCCATAAGACTGTGCAGTTCAAATCAGGCACAAAATATCGCGATTGTTAATAATTAAAGTAAATTTCACGTACGTTTATTAACTTATTTGCGGCTCTTATCAGTAATCACTTTTAACGTGCATTTTATTTGCCCGTTTAGTTCTTCCTCCTTATCACATAAATTTCGGTCTTACGTTCCTGGCATTTAATCTCCTTTTCCCCTAGGTTTCATTAAACCGACTTTCCAAATATGGCTAATCTGCGGACCTTTTTGTGCCCTCGAAGGAGTTAACAGCAGTCGAAACCGCGACAACTTAGCTAACGTTAAAAACATACTACACTCCGGATAGGATTAGCGCGCCCTAATTTATTGACTTCCCGCCTTACTGTCGCGGGGACAAGGGGGCTCGAACCCCAGTGGCTCCAAGTTAACGGCATTTTACAAGAGGGGTGACCCTTCATAGGGGAGCTGCCACGAGTCGGAAGATGCATATTGCATGCTTGTAATCAAGTCTGACAAAATATCATGCATGCAGTGTGATCGTTCTAGTGTGAATTGTATGACGTATTATATATTATTATAGATATATGTACGAGGGTCGGAAACGAAAATCATCGTGGCGGAATGTACAGATCGAAATGTCGCAGCTATATTTAGAACTACTTTCTTTCTACGTATTTTTTCCCGAAATGAAGTGAATATTTTGTAATCTACAACAAACATCGTTATATTGCGACAGTTTATTAAAAATGATTGATTTACGATGTATCAAAAAACTCGGGGAAGCTTAATGTCTAGAAGTCTGATTCTTTAAACCTGTAATACTTGAAGTATTCAATGTCATAAAGGGGATATACAAATGATCACTCTACAATTATTTCAATTGACAAGGGAATATTGCGGATAAATATAAGCAAGAAAAATAATTGAGTATTTCTTGGCTATTTCAAACTTTATTGCCTGTATAGTTTACAGGCTTGTGATGCTGAAGATATCAATCAAAATAAAATTCACGATCATTTTCATCCGTTCATAATTAATCCTTATTTCTTTTCGATATGTGCTAATAAAAATGATATTTCTTTTACTTTATATAATATATTAGATACATATAAAATGTATATCCTTTAGAGAAAATTTATTTTATGCATTTTCACATTAATCTGATTTTCAACTGATTGGTTTAATTTATAGAATAATCGTTTTTGTTTTATATTAAATACATTTAAAAATAATTCTTTAATGATAAACTGAAGTTACAAATAACATTTTTCTGTTACGATTTCCAATTAAATATTAAAAAATTAGAGATTTTTTAATGCATAAAAAAATTAATCTGATATACTATATGTAACATAAAATTGTGTGAAAAAATGTTTTCGTACAATCTTTTGAAATTTAAAATTCAATTTGTTATTATGGAAATTAATCTCGTATATATTGTATTAATAAAAAAAATTATTCGTTTACCGTTCAACAATCAATATTTCATTATTCAATAAATGTGATTTCATTGTAAGATAATATATATGATACCTGATTAAGCAGATAAGAATAAAGAAATGTCGTGTCCATTATCGTTTCATTGGACAGTTCCTATTTATACCAAGTATTAAACTATGTGGCATGACGTGACTTACGTACAAGGGGCGTAGAAGTTTGCATTCCGTCCAATTCTCCTCAACGAGGCAATAACGGACGTCTTGAAAATCTTCCGTCCTTCTGCGCGTCCTCCTATCGCAGATCCCCCTAATTAAGAACACCAGTCGCGAGTGTTGGAGAAGGGAATTCAACGATGATCCTTATGTTCAAAGCCTAAGTGTCTCTTTCTCACGTTTCTAAAATCAAATTTCCCGTTCTATTAGCATTTATATAGTGCACAAAGAAGTATTAAAATACATAATTATTCAGAAATGTAATAATGGAATATATTATATCTCACAATTATTCATAAATGTAAAGCCTTATGTAATATCTTAACAATGCCTTATATAAACGTATAAATCGCAATGCGAAAGAAAAATGCTAATAAAACAGAATGACTGTTTAAAATAAAATTAATTATCAAACTTATTGTGTAAAATATATTTTAGTATCTCTATTAGTATCTTATTAATTTTTTTGTAAATATCTTGTTTGAGGTGATAGAAAATACATGTAATGATGCATTGACTAAAATTTCATTGTTATTTATTTTTCCAATTAGAAAATGTAAAGCTTTTTGTAATAATGCTTATTAAATATATGTAACTATATAAAAAGAAATTTCCATATGCAATCATAAAAGAAAATTTCCATATGCAATCATAGAAAAAAATTTTCATATACAATCATAAAAAGAAATTTCCACATTATCTTAAATGTTGTTTCAAAAAACATATAAAAATATATGGTATGTACAAAATTGAATTGCTTGTAATATTTTTTCGTGCTATATTCTATAAATCTCTAAGTTTAACAAAAGTTATTAAGCAATAAATATTTCACACAAGATGTTAAATTAAATAACAAGATTTTGTAAAAATATTCTCTCGTCGATTTGTTGCGCGAAATTTTAAACGAAATGTAACATTAATGATTAGTGTTGCCATCTAATAGTAGTGCAATACAATTAAAATGTGGCAAAATCGAATAACCGATCGATAATACAATTCCAGATGAACAATTATCAGTAACGTCGCTATTAGTACGCATGCATAATTAATTAAAATACATTAAACATTCATAGAAAAACCGTGAAATGTAAAACAATTGTTTTTATTAAAATTAGTTCGCATAAAATAAACGAGAGAGTACAATTGGAAGAAAATTTATGTATATATATAAAATTGAAAGAATTTTAGAAGAAGATATCTTTTTTACATTGCTTGTGTTAAAGTTAAAAATGCAAGTGCGGAATTAACAACAATTTGAAAATATCGAAAATATATGTCAATATATAATTAATCTTGATAAAAGTATTTCTCAAAATTTTTCATGTAATTTCTTAAAATTTATGTAAATTTAAAAAATTAAAAAAATTGCTTATAAATAATTTTTTAACTTCTTAGAAAATTTCTCTCAGATTCTTTTGTACAAAGTAGAACATTTTTTTTCAGAAATGCCGAGAAATTTTATAAAATCTGAAAAAAGTTTAACATGCATTTTTCAAAAACTGTAATATTACTATATTTAATTATATATTATTATGAAATTGTAATATATTTTGTATTATAAAATAAGAAATTGTAGAATATTTTAGAATTCACATATATGAAAAATTCTGACCAAAAAGATGTAAACTTAATATTTTTGAAAGTGTTCCAATTTGTATACAAATTCTGAGAAACATTTTCATCAGGATACAGAACGATGTCATGTTGTATACCTTGTCCACATGCGATGCTGTACATTAATCGCGTTTCGCTACGTATCGGCATGAAAATAAGTGTTCAAATAAGATACATAAAGAGAGTTTCAATTTTGGACGCAGAACACAACTTCAATCCTCAATTATCGATATTGGCGATGTCGGCGATGGCACGCGATGATACTGACAATAGGGATAGTGTATTTAGTGCGTGTTCTCTCTCTCTCCTCCCCCTCCTCACTCTCTCTCTCTCTCTTCTTTTCCTTCTGGATCCCCAGTGGATTTCCGCTCTACTATAGCAGATCACAATATCACATTTAATGTGTTGCAAGAACTTTACGAGACTGATACGTATCCACACAACCAGTTCTCCAAGGGATTGTCCTAAGGACTTCCCCAGGATGTTCTCGGAGAATTATGTTGTGTGGGTACCCCTGATTTCGTAAAACACATGATGATGCGTATGATTTTATCTTTGTTATTCATTGAATGTTGAACAAGAATAAAATAATTCATCATGCACATTATGCGTTTACGAAACGGTCTTTACAAGAGATACTCGACGCTCGCGATTATACGCACGCAAGATTCACTTTTCGACAATACAATCACAAAAAATATGAAGAAATGCGATATACATATTTTGATAAAATGTTCAAACAATGAATTATGTTGTAACAATGGACGCAATCAACGCAATTAATGTTAAAACAACGAAAAGGATATACCTGTAGATGTGATCGCGCAAGCAATCTTACTATTCTTACCTTCGCGTTTTGTTACGAAGAAATAATTTTGGCGCAATATGGCGGACGAGAAACTTTCGGCCAAATCTCCAAGCCGAAATTATAAAACCGCGATATCGGCGTATAATAAGTATACGTAATATTCAACGCGTTACAGCGAACTGATGCTCTACGACAGAAATATTGCAATATTCTTTCACAGGATTTATTTTTAAGTAAATAATAATCGTGAAAAGTACGGAGCGTTTCGAACGGATTTCGCCGCGTTTCGCAATGGATCGATCACGATTCACGATACACGCGACATCTGTCGAGGACATTGCGAAGTAATGAGATTGCCTATCGACGGTCAAAATATTACGATTAAAATAAAAATATCGCTAAAATACTAGAAATTACTGCGTTCAGCGGAGAAAGCAGCTTTGCAACTGTTGCAAAATTTTTTAATATGATTAATCTTGTCATTAATTCCTTACTGGATTTAAACGTATAAATATTTCACATTAAAGAATTTTACAGAAATTGCAAAACTGCTAAACGCAGTCGATTTGTATCGATTACCAGTTAATAACCCACCTAATCTTTAATATTAATAATTTAGTCACATTGTTTGAAATCTCCCAAAATTTTGCACTTTAAACGAGATAAATATATATTCGGGTATTGAAAAGAAAGAAAACGAAGATACTGAGTGCAAAAAGTGCAAGCAACGCGAACAGATCGACACGTCACGAGACACCATATGACTTTTTACCTATATATATAGGTATGCATATACCTTTAACTGTAAAGTCAGCTGATTTTGACTGGCTGCTTCTCAGATGCAAGTGGAAGAAGAAAATATGGTCAGAGACGAGTATCCAGCACCGGAGGAAATGAAAAAGGAAGAAGATATAGAGGATACGATGCAAACGGAGGAAACTAATCACGACGCTGACGAAGAAATGAACTATATGGAGAACGAGGAACGTTCCGGTGATATTTGCGAGTATCTCGAGAACGTTGTGTATCCTGAAGATGTATATATTGATCCAAGTAAGCATATTTTCAAGTAGATCTTTTCGAGTAAATGTTGAGAATTCAAAAACTAACAACGTGACATGCTGTACGACTATGGAGAATTTTGTTACACATTATTGGTGTATATCTAAATATTAATGCACAGACAATTTCATAAAAATACAAATTTTTATAGACTCCTTATATTAATACAATGATAATAATAACAAAATGTCTAACTGGGCGTTAGGAGTCAGCGCCGGGTATAATATTGCGCAAAACTAACTAATACTTATTCATAAATAAAAAATTCAATTTTGTACGTTTTGGCTCACTATTTGAGCCATCCTCAGCAATAAAAAATTATCGCTTTAAATCATGGATACATAGAAATTCTCAATAAGTTATATGTTTATTTTTATTATTGACCGATATGCTTTGTTCGCGCGACACATCTCTCTTTGTATTTAACAAGTAACATGTGATTAACATCAAAACGAACATGACTTTCTTTTATGTTACTTAAATTAGTTAGCTTTGCGCAATATTATATCCGGCGCTGACTCCTAACGCCCAGTTAGACATTTTGTTATTATTATCATTGTATTAATGCACAGATATATTCGTGTAAATAATTTAAGAAATAAATACTTAAATAAGCTTTTAAATCAAGTAGAAAAAGAGATATGTATATCATTAACATGTTATGCACAGGTATAAAGGCATTAGAGGACGAGTTGGATCATTTGCAAACTGCTTTGGATCATTTGGAAAGGAAAAACGATGATATACATGCACAGTTGACCGAACTGTTGCAATCTAATCGTGAAGCTAGGAAACAGTTTCAGGAATCACTGCAAGTCGAAGAACAACAATCAAAGTGATAATTATTCTTAGAAAATTATGTTTGCCAATTTGATGTTGCCTGAAGATACTCCTAAGTATTATTTTTTGATCTTATAAATGCATTGTTTTATGTATCTGTAAGAATGAAAAACATTTTATAATCTATCCTGATTAATCATATTTGTTAGTAATTAGGCAAAGAAACTTCAACAACATTCCTAATGACAAAAATAAAATTGAGTTAATTTATCGTGTAATTATGTATATATGTATACACATATATTTGAAAATATTAATGCACTTTTATTTATTACAAATATCGATGTTAATTGAATTGCAATTGTAATTTTAAAAAATTCTTGTACATGTTATGCAAAATATATATTTTTTATTAAATTTTAATATTTTATTTTTGAAGAATAATGGAACATACACAATATCTTTGTTATATATCATATTGCGATATATATAGCATTATGTATATACATATATCAATTGTTACTAAGATCAAATAAACAATATTTCTAGAAATGATAAAACATTTTAGAATATTTCTAACAAACAAAATAACCAGAGAAGATATGAAAATATATAATGCAATCGTCTTCGTGTAAAAATTGTTTTATGACAATTCATATAATGCGCTAAAACAGAGGAGAATATTGAACGAAACAATAAATGCACACGAACAGTTATGTAAATTTTATTTGCATATAAACAAACAGATTTAATATAACTGTCGACGCGCGCGCGCGGTAGTAAAAGTATTTTTAATATAATGCTAATTTTAACTACAATTATCATGTACTTAATGATAAAGAACTTACTTTCTAATATATTAGATATACACAAATCAGTGAACTAATATAAACAACGTGTTTCATGGATCTACTTGCAGAAATTCTGTGTTAGAACATTAATTACTTAAGTAGTTTTAATAGGTGCATATTAAATTATTAATTTATTATATTTAATAGGTGCATATTTTGATAATCTAACTGTCTCTTGCTGGCCCCTAGTTATTTCTAAACGATATTCTTTTATTCTTTACAATATATACACATTAAGTGCAATTAATAGTGATTTATCACAAAGCGCAACAGTGATTCATAATCTTCAATTTCTTCACTTACATTTTCCATTAATTTTTTAAAGCATTAGAATCTATGATTTCTTGAACAGTGCTGTATCAGAATTATGTGACATATGCATTTGTTATAAATGAAAACGCTCTCTAATTAATATTTTTCATCAAATACAAGCTTCAGTTCAAACAGGCAAATCCATCTTGCTGAATAGAAAAATATACAAACAACCTCAGCATATAAATCATTTTATTATATTAAATAAATATTCATCACATGCTGAGAGAAGATTCATTATTAAAGATTTATTTAAAAGAAATCTATACCTCTTAAAAAATTCTTAAAATCTTTGATAGTAAGATGTAATGCTTTTATTAAAAAAAAATGGTTAACTTTTGATTGTATATATAGAATTACATAACAGATTTTATACAGAACTCAAAATGAAATATATGAACTTTACTTTTGTGATAAAAGTTTCCTATCTATAAATCAAAACAAAACATAATAAAGATATCCTAATATGCAATGTTGGCTTTCTATATGCTTTACTTGTATAATTCGAGTCGTCTGTTGCAAATGCATGAAATAAATGTAAATGATAGTAAAACGGTCATTACATACACGATCAATACATACAATCAATCAATTTATTGCATACAGCGCTTAAGGGACCAAGTAATTCGATACATTCTTATCGGATAGATTAAAGTCTATTCTACAATGTGCTTTTTGTTTTCTGTTTCTTGCTCTTTGCTATTTTTTACATCTTGTCTTTTTGCTTTTTATCCGGTTTTTTGTTTTATGTCGTCCGAAATAAAAGTTAACGAACTTCGAAAGAAACAAGAAATACGTAGCAAGAAATACAATTGTCGATAAAACGATTGCAAAGGGGAAAAAAGCAAGAAACAAGAAACAAAGAGCACATTGTAGAATAGGCTTAACACACTGTTGTACAGAAAAACATTAAACAACATTAAAAGATTATTAACTTATTAATAAAGACTAAGACTTCAAGACTAAGACTTCAGTGTTTGAATCTTAATTCAAGATATCCAAATTCTTGTCTTTTTTTTACGACCGAATATTAATACGACCAAATATATTTTTTAATATTTAAATAATTTTCTCATCTTATATTAATCTGCCATCAAATTATATTATATATTATATATTATATAGTATATATGATATATGATATATTAAATATATATTAAATATTTAATTATATATTATATATATAATATATAATATATAATTATAATATACGAATTAATAATTGTAAAGTTTTCATCTTTTCATAATAAAAATGCAAAGATATTCTGACTTTAAAAGAATTCTAGTATCTTACACAAGTCAAAATTTTAATCGAAAAATATTTACATTATTCGAAGATTTAACATTATAATCTATTAGAAATTTTCTATTAAATAAAAATCACTGAAATCTCAACTTGTATTATCATTATTTTTATCTTTTTACAAACAATTTTTTTACATGCATACGCAAATTTATTAATTTAACGAACTTATTATCTATATAAAATAGGAAAAGATGTTACATTATTCTATTAATTTGTTTTCATGAAGCTTTAAATCTTTTTACACACAAAATAAGAATAAAAGAACAAAATAAGAATTTTTTATTAGAATATTATATACAAAGTAAGAACAAAAGATTTCAAAATTTCACGTTTAAGTTGCGAAAATTTAGACATCCATCTAATTCTTATAACAATACCAAGATTCTTCCATTATTAGTTTCATTATGTATTTTATTTCGCAACTTAAGTAACTTAAGTTATGTTGTCACATTGAAATAATATTCTTACTTTAAGCTTGATAGTAAATTACAAAGAGATTGTAACAGTGCACTTTATATCTTATTCAAATTATCATTCTTTTCTAAACAATAAAAAATCAAACACAGAAGTTATTTCTATCAAAAAACTGAAAGAAAGGTAGATTTAAATAAATTATACTAAATATAATAAAAAAATATATAAGAAAAGAATATTGTATATAAAAAAAGATTGCGTATATATGAGTGTTTCATTATATATATATATTATATATACTATATATAATAATATATTATATATAATATATAAAATTTTATGGTAAGTCTAATAATGCTATTTGTACAAAGATTTTGCATAGATACTTTAAACGAATTATGTAAATTGTGAAATAAATAACTACCCTTATTTCAAAAATTATATGAACATAAAGTGCATTGGTAACAACAGCAAATTTGTAAAAATGTACTTCTTATATTCTATAATCTTTTTTATTCATTTAATCTTTTTATTGCATACATACACACAAAGTATCTATATGTAACAGATCAGTAAAAGCATTTTTGCACAGATGTTTTATTTCTTAATAAATTTTTGTAAATCGTAATGTATTTGTAATGTGAAGTTATACAATCATAACATACATTGTCGATGTGAATTTAAAGTTTACTTGTACGTGTGAATGTTGCAAAATTTTAATTATTTCAATCTCTCAAAATTTTTATACTCAAATCAAATAATTCTCACAATCAGTTCGTTAAAGAATATAAAATTATAGTGCTTAATGTAAAGTATAATTAAAATTTAAAACATTCACTATGAACTATTTATTATGATAAAATAGAAATTTTACTCATTTCATTGATACTGTTTCGATTTTTTACTATAAAAAAATAATCAATGAGGATATTTACAGTTGTATTACGGTTGCATCAATTTCTCTTGTAATTATAAATATTTCTAATTTATGTTAATAAAAATATAAAAGAAATAACTGTCATAATTTTCATAAATAACTGTCAGATTATTAATGTTAAATACAAGTTATTAATTTGTCTTCAAATTTTGTCTATAGTGTAAATTTAATTTTATATGCTAAGTACATAAAAATATATGACATCTATTATTATATGTTAAATTGACAAAATATACTGATTACGAAATATATATATATTGAGATTTTTATTCCTTTCAACTTCAATAATTCCAAAGGCTCTATTTGCTTCGCTTTTTTTGGATCAAGAAAGAATGCTGGATAAGGACTTGCTTCAAATAACTGGATTTTTCCATATTTCTCACACAATTCTGCTATCTCTCTTGTTATTAGGCGTTATTTTTGGAATATTATCAATGAGAACAATTCTTCTTGTTAGATCGTCTCTCTCGTTATGTGTTATGTTAAATCTTTTTATAATACTATTCTCATTTTCATTGGCTTCCCTTTTTACATCATCATTCTCACTGTCTTCTTCACCTTTACTACTAATATCGTCTTCATCACTAGTATCTTTATCTTCTCCATTAAAATCTTCATCTTCATCGTCGTCTGCTCCAAAAGTACTTTTGTACCTAATTCTGCATTCTCGTCATCGCTATAATCAGTAGTATCATTGGAATAGTCATCTGAATCGGAATTTTCCAATACTGTAGAATCGAATTCAGCGTAATTTTTGATAATTCTAATTTTAGGTTTTTCAATGTGATCATCTTTCTTTTTCTGCTTTTCCATGTCTTTATCTTCATCTATACCATCCTCGTCATCATCTTTATGAAAGAAAATACAACTGAGAAACTCTCAATTGTATTTTCACTACTTTCGACTTCATCATCCTCCTTTTGACCTTTCTTCATTTTCTTGGTTTTAGATTGTAAACCTTTAAACATTGTTACACCTTTACGCTCACTCATCTCTTCTTCATCACTGTCATCATCATCGTCCATCTCTTCTTCATCAGAGTCATCATAATTATCCGTGTCTTCTTCTTCCTCATCCTTTTCATAATCTTCATCTTCATCATCTGATTCTTTTAAGCTCCTGCCAAAAATATCTGGGATATCTGAATCGCTTTCATCTGATTTATTTAAACTATCATCCTCACTTTCAGTAGTGTTAGAATTAGATTTATCCAATTGCTTTTCCACCTTTTTAGGTTGAAAGTCTTCTTACTAATTTTTTGTGCTTTGCTTGAATTCGTGCTTTAGTTGAAATTTTGTGTTTTGTTTGGAAATTTTTTTTTGATTGCTTTGCTACTGCATTACCATTTGGAGAAGCCTTTTGATCCCAATATTTCTTTGAAATCTTGTTTTTATTTGGAGCAGGCTCTTGATCTTTGGGTGTATTTTTGAATTTGGAATCTTTATTCTTCTTTATAGAACCACCTTTTATTTCATGCAACTGCCGTTTTCCTTTATTTGCATTATGCTTCAATGCCTTTGCCTTACCCATTTTTTCTTTCTATAACAATAGTTTTCTTCCTTTGCTAATCAGAAAACTTCGATTTTTCGAAAACACCTCGATCAATTCGAATCGTTATTCGTGCCGTTCGTACGTCCGCTTCCTTGCCTGTTGTCGAAAGAAATGTCTAATTCTACGTGCTACTAAGATATCAATTGTGTTTATATCCTTTCAAAATAAAATCTAATGAAATCAAAGAATTTGATGCAACAGTAACCAATCTGTAATAAATTTATCTGTATGCTTTTGTATATTTCTTTGTACATACAGGGTTACAAGGTAATTCAGTCCAGTCGGAGGAGTCGGCATGTACGTACTGTTTATGAAAAACTGAATCGAAAAGTCTTCTACCATTTTACCATTTTCGTAATTTTTTTAGTTGCTCAATAAGTAGAATGTTTGTATCGACGCATAAAATAACTTAAGAGTTCTTTAAAAAATATCTGAAACATTTTTTATAAAAAACTTTGAAAGATATTTCAATATCTTTACATCGATTTTACCAGCTTATTCAGCAATTTTTAGGAATTAATATTTTGTTAACTGTTGCGAAATAGTAGAGAATTTTTCTAATTCAGTTTTTCATAAACAGTACATACATGCCAGCTCCTCCGGCTGGTCTTTTGATCGTAATGTTGCTAATCATAATAAACATAGTAAATGTAATAAATATTAAATTTAAATGATTACATTTTTTAAAAAAATTCTAATAGAGAAAGAAAAATAGGAAAAAACTAAAAATGCATTAAAAATAAGAGGAATACTCTTCTACCTGTTAGTTAATAATAGTTAAATAGTTAACGATATTTACGATACTGAATTCGTATTATTGACTATCAGAACATCATGAAATTTCTTATCCTCATAATCCCTCGTAGAATGTGTATAACCATTCATCTGTAAATCTGATAAATTTGGACCAATTCCCATAAACACGTCGTCTAATTCTAATGGTGAATATGTCATAAGTTCACCACCAGCAGATCCGTTGACAGAATCTGAAACTATACATTATTGAAATTATTATCTGCACTTCATCTTATTAATTTTATAGAAATAAACTTTCTTCTGAAATTTCATAATAACATTATGATGTAATAAATAAATATAAAAAGCATCTCACATATTTCTTAAAATAAATTAAATATTTAAAAACACGTAAAATATATATGTATATTTTAATAACAATTATATTTAATTATAATTTCTTTTTTTATAAGATTTTTTTATTATACTTGCAACCTTTTCTTAAAATTTTTTTAATGGAGAAATATAAACTTTATTGAAATAAAGTTTGAATTTCAGCAAAAAAATTATAAAAACTTACTATCTTCCTCTTCTCTCCCATAATATGGATTCAATTCTGAATTAAGTGACAATCCAAACGTCATCGGATCATCAGTATTAAATATCTAGTAAAAAAGGAAAAATATCATTATTAGCATTTTTAGTAAATGTGCTTTTTTCTATGAAGAATCTTTAATTATTATTCTTGCAATTTTTTCTTTCTTTCTGTTTCTGATATGTAAAAAATTTATATTTACTTACATCAAGTAAAGTATTAGCGTCCAAATTGCAATTTTCACTCAGCAATACGTCACGGAAATTGTCCAAATTGCTCTGTGTTGTTTCTACTTGATTGTTTAGTTCTTCCCTATATATAAAATAAAGATATATTAAAATATAATATTTACGCATTACTTAAGTAAAAACTATTAAATATGAAGAATAAAGTGGAGTAAAATGCTCCTATAGGTTAAAAAATAATAATTTATGCAATAAAATATGATAGTAATTTTTATAAGAGATACATAAAAAAAGAATTGTAATATTCTTTATATTTTATTATTTCATAAATTCTATAAATATTATATATAATAAATATTACAACATAAATTTGTTTTAAAAAACAATATAAATTACATTAATAAAAATTATTTAAAATTTATAAAAAGATAATCTATATCGTAAAAAAAATTTATCCGATATAAAATATAAAAAACGATATTCCTTTTGTTGTGATTAATAATTTCCACTATAAAATCAAATGGAAATTATTATTAGTAAATATTTATATTATTCATGATCTATGTTGGACTTACGTTGGTTCTAATCTGTAATTAGCTTCAGTCATTCCAGAGGAATTAACACGGCTCACAAATAAATCCTTTGATGAACTTGCGTTTGCTGTGTCATAACTATTATCTTCTTTTTGTGATTGTACTATTCTATTTTCATTATATTGCTCATTGATATTTGTCACTAAAATAGGACCTCTTCCGCTATCGATTTTTTTACTAAACCTGTTATACATGTTATTAGGATTGCTACTGCTGTCTTCTTCATTCTCAATATTATTTTGAATATTATTATTATAGAGCATTTCCGAGGAAATTAATATTTCCGGAGTAATTATATTTTCTGATTTCACTATCGATGGATTGTTATCCGAAACTTCCATAGTAAGTCCATAATTCTCCAAATCAACTGAATCCACATCATTAGAACCGATGGAATCATTTTTCAATAAACTCACAGGCTCGTTTTCATTGGTAGATATTTCAGGCATATGCAGCAATATTTCTCTATAAATAAGATCAATTTCCATTTTTATTTTAGATGCTCAAGTTTAAATTCTCTTATCTATATAAATTATGAAATACTTAAATATATTATCATATTCCAATAGAATAAAGCATAAATGCAAATGAATGAAGCATAAAAAATTATGAGTGAAGCATAAAAAAAATTGTATGTTACAAGACAGAACATATAAGAGATAAAAATTCATGCAATCTATTATACCATTCAAAAGAATATTATAATACAATAGCTATCAAATAAAGATAATGTTTATAGATCAATATATTAAAGTAAAAAATTAAATATGTAAATGAAAAAACTTCTTTCCTAATAGCAGAAGAATGTCACATTTTTCTTTTTTTCTTTTACCTTATCTTTCTCTTTCAATACATAAACAATAATATATCTTATATAGGTATATATAAAGATTATAATTTCATTAATGCAAATTCAGGACAAACATTTATGAGGAAAAATTAATAATATGAAGTGACAGTATTAGTTATACTAAAAAAAAAAAACATTCATATCGATATGTGCCTAATTTAATACAAAATGATTTATATATATATATTTATATGTATATAAAAGACTTATTAAAAATTTTTTTAATTTTACATGCTCTCCCCCCACCCCCCCCCTCCCTCTCACTCTCTGTAGAAAATATCGATAAAATGTATTTCCTCGCTTCCTCCCCGCTCCTTATATACATTTAAAAAAATTATATTTTTACAATACAATCACAAAAATCTAACTCATGCAAGAAATAGCATACATCATATACATAGTAACTCTATATAACAAAATAAATATAAGCAATTCTCAAAACACCAACAAACAAAAATTAGATTTAACCTTGTTGATTCTTTTCCGTTTTCCAATGGTGGAATGATAATTTTGACAGGCACCTTGTTTTTCCTGCTAATAACATTTAAATTTGATCAATATGAAATTTTTTAATATTATTATTAAATTCTACTGAATGCAACTGATTAGTAAATAAAAATATTGACTTAAACAAATTTTAATGACTTGGATTATTTGTATATATTTTAATGACTTGGAATATTTGTGTATATTTGATAGATTTTGTTATCATAATAACTTTTATGATGTAAATCTGATTTCTGATATTTGTACTACTATTTAGTAAGATAATTTTTAGTATGAGACTTTCCCTTATTTTCCACAAATCCTTCATAGAAAATTTTGGGACAAAATTTTTTTAATAAAAATTTTAATATTTAATACTTAGCGATTAAGTTCGAAGTAAGATTTTGTTGCAATAAATTTTACTTTTATTTTCTGCTTACAAGAATATCAGAATGTATTTCTATATTTTTTTCTAACAAGAATCAATTTCAAATTTTATAAAGAATAATGTTGTGTCTACTTTTTGCAAATACTGTGTACATTATATATAACGTTCTATTAAGTTATGTTTGTTTTATCTGTGATAAATTCTTCTAGAAATTAACTTATACGTATAAATACGCTCGTTAAAAATATAATATAAATTAAACTTACTTCTTTTTGTCTTTGCGAACAAGTTTCCTCTTTGTCTTAATCTTAGGATTCTGAACGGTATTTTCAGGTGTATATATAATTTCCACATTACCCTTATCTGTCAGCATTTCATCAATATGTTCTTGTGGACTTTGAACGGTTAGATTTTCATTTTTCAATATTCTAAAACAACTTATTATAATTAATTAGATAATGTTTTTTTTCTTTATCCACGCATATATTGAATCTTCTACTTCTTTAACAGGGTTGTTAGCGAAAAAAAAAAATTCCTTTACTTTTCTCGGTTTTCCTTATTTTTTAATTCTGTGACTTTTCTTGATTTCCTCTGATCGCTAACAACCTTGTTAGAACACTAATTCAAAAAATAAGCAAGACCAAATTTGAATTATATTTAAAATAAGCAATATATGTTAAATTTATTCACGTACTTGGTTAAGTAGTCTGAATCCACATCAGGTTCCGATTCATCAAGTTCATGAATTACTGCTCCTGTAGGAGACTCTCGCGACTACAATATAAATATTTATTATTATAGTAATTAATTACAAAATAAACATAAGTTAAACAATAATTACAATATTACCTTAGACAATTTAAATCGTTTATGTGAAGTTGATTGTAAATCACGTATCATTAATGGACATGGTCTTTTAACAGATAGTCCACTCCTCGATGGTTGTACAAGAGCAAGAAGAACTAATCGAATTAATCTATTAATAATTTCTTGCTGTTGCAAATATTTTTGATTCAATCTCATTACTTCTGTCCATATTGTTGAATTTTCCGATTTCATTTCATTTAAAGTCTCAGTTATAGTTTTTTGATATTCCTTCATTTCTCTTATTTCAATTAATACCCTATTCATTGCTTCTGGTGTAAAAGGAGACTGCAGTAAATCTTGATTTTTGTTAGCTGTAACCTAATAAGAGGACAGATTTAATTCCGTAATAAAAATGTTGATGTAACATTTCATCTTTTACAATTTAGGTTTGTATTTAAACTTGCATCTTTTTATTAGAAAGATATTTTTTATGTACTTCCAATTTTGCTTGCTTAAAAAGATTTAAAAGGGGAAAGAAATTCCTATACAGGATGGCCCCGAACGTTTCACAGCCAGATTTCGAGATTTTATAGGAAATTTAATAATGTTGAACAAAAAGTTTCTTATAAACACGTCGAAAAATGCTTCCTTAAAAAATTATCGCTCAAAAATCTTTGTGTAAAATAACGATTATTTTATATATTTTTACAAATATCAGAGAATGTATAATTATTTGAAAAATAATTTAATTCTCTACAACTTTCGTTTCAGTATTTTTTGATAAAAAAACGTATACATTCCCTAATATTTGTAAAAATATATAAAATAATCGTGATTTCAGAAGTTTTTGGGTGATAACTTTTTAAGGAAGCATTTTTCGACCCACGTTTATAGGAAACTTTTTGTTCAAAATTAAATTTCCTATAAAATCTCGAAATTTCTAACTGAAACATTCGGGGCCAATCTGTACATATCATACTACGTTATTACATTACACTGGAACCTCGTGATAACAAACTTCGAATTAGCGCACAAAATCCCTTCGATACGCATTAGACGCATGTGAGTAGCGTGAGTGGGAGTAACAGTTCCCAATAGGGCTCTGAATTTCATGATATAAAAGAGGGGGTAATCTCGTTATTAAGGAGATCTGAAAAGCGCGCGCGCTATTACAAGGCTCCAATCTTAAATTTTATATGTAATAATTTTTGTAGAAAAATTAAGAATATCATAAATATATAAATATAGGAAATCTTTTACACTATATATATGTATTTTTGAAACTTTTTTGAATTAATTTTAATCTTAAGAAAATAAAGAATAAAAAATTCAAATTATTACACCATAAAACATCTCAACTTTTAATTTAACATACTTACTTTTCTTTTAATATTTTCCACTAAATGAGGAGAATCTTTACAAAAGTACCGATGCGCAAACTCTATTTCATCTTTATCACATTTTAGGCCGCCCAATTCTACAGATGCTACCTTGTGAAATCCATCTAACATGTAAAGAACATTAATAAATATTTTGTTATTGTTATTTTGTTGTATTATCTACATTTTAAAAAAAGTTTAAAACTTACACATATTCAGCTGTCGTATAAAACTGGCCATATTACTATGTTTATAGTAATATGGTAATACTTTGATTGTAAATTCCGAATGATTTTTAATAAGAAAGGTATTTCCACTCTGAAAAAAACATTAAAAACTGTTAAGATTATTAAAATTCTCATCAAATTATGACAAAGTATACATCATTCATAAGACTGTTTTTTGTAGCTGAATTAGTATACAATCATATTTAAAATGAAATGTATATGAAGTTTTGCAAATGCGAGATAAAATTTTAATACAGTTAAGTATAGCGACAAGAAATAGAAAAATTATATATTACATATAAAAATTATATATATATTATAAATTTCCCTAGTATCTTCATTCATAGAGCATAATATTTATTTTTCGAAAATAAGCCAAAGCCATAGATTTTTTCATAATGTACAAGAGAATAAATAAATCAGAGTTTTTCCTTTATGAAAGTCTCTGATTGATTATCTTATGCTTTATGTATTATGAGTTATGCAAAGATTTATGCTCCAGCCTTAAAGTCCTAAACCTCATTATAATCTCAAAATATCACTGCATAGGTTATTTTTAATTAGAACCGAAATTAGGACTATACTTAATGCTACCATTACCATATATACAATCAAGAGAGATCATATTAAAATCCATAAATCATTTGTAACTACAATTTATTTATAACTGCAATTTATTTATTGCTATAATCCATTTATCAGTATTTTCAAATTTAGGCTCTTATCCTATAACTCTAATAACAGTGTCAGCGTTGTTATATTATTTGTAGCTTTATTGCCAGGTATAAACTCTGGCATTAACAATAGGGCTACTCTTTCTTCTTTATCTTTCCTTTTAATTGAAAAGGACAAAAGATAACCTGTGCAAATTCAGTTCCGAAATTCAAACAATGAATTTTGAAGAATAATGCCCATTGACAATAGGCGGCAAGATGGGATGTCGATATTTTGTTAATATTGTTGTTGCTCATCTAGGCGGAAAATCAGAATACCTGACATCGTCTAAAGAAACAACTATCATTAAGGGGATGCTGGAGTGACGGTAGAAGTTAATCAAGATCGATAGTATAGACTTTTTTAAATTCCAAATTCGACAATAATGACATCTTTCATTCATTTCTTATACTTATTATATATCATTGTGTCTCGCTCAAACGCATTCATCTGTCCTTATCTAACATATTGCAATACCATCTCTTACAAAGAGATCAACTAAAATACTGCTCGGTTTCATGGCTAAACAGTCTAAACTGTCATACACATCGTCGATTTCTCACGCGCTAGACACACAAATTCGTTCCTTGCACTAATCTTTTTATTTAGGCGTCAAAACTTAATTCTAAAGATACGACTGTATTCGTTTATTTATTCTACATGTGCTCCTGCCCTAATTTCGAGCATATAACGTGCATATAATTTTTTCACGAAGTAAATGTTTGATGAGCTGATAACACATGGATACAGGAATCTGTAATTTATTATTTTTCCCAGTTTTTGACACAAAATACACCAGGAGCAGATACATTAGCACAGATATTTCAATCGTGGAGAAGGAATTTTTATTCTGTGCAACTAATTCGAAGAACCGCGCAAGGAACATAAATGCTTGCTTTATCGGTAAAAAAAAGAAGACTCCAGTATCCCCTTAAGAGTATTAAAAAATAAGACACCCCGTTAAGCTAATATTTCATATAATAATGATTAAGACTCTGTCAATTTAAATCAATAATCATTAATAATACCAATAAAAACCGATGCTAGTTATTGTTGTATTAACAATATATTTCGATGGATAAAAGAAACAAGGAAGCATTATTTGATCTCGACATATATCATAGTGAGTGACTGCATTCTACTTACAAAAAAAATTGCGAAAATATTTTTAACATAGGTATTTTTATTAGTTTTAGGGAAAGTTAGACTTTATGTTAATACTGAGGAGGATTCAAAACGCAGGATCGAAACGTTTGTGAAATATTTTGTTCAATTAAATGCAAAATAGATTGCTAATACACAACAATAACTAGTGTCGGCTCTTATTGATATTATTAAATGATTAATATTTCATTTGTTATATGAAATTTTTCAAGTGACTAGAAAACAGGGTTGGTATTATTTTACCCACCTCAAAAAAATCCAAGGGAATTTTTTGGGTTTTATTTGGTTAAAAAAATCCGAAATTCGTAGGTTTTATTGGGATTTTTTGTATAAGAAAAATAAATTTTGTAATTCTTTAATCCAAAAAAAAAAAAACCTAATAAAAACCAATAAAATCCCTAAAAAAGTCACTGAGCTTTTTTGAAAAAGTCTGGATTTTCCAACCCTGCTGGAAAAGAGAATAAAAAAGTTTTCGAATCACTATACAGAAATTTTCTACTATAGCTAATTAATCCTTATCGTGCAAGGTCATTAGTGAGGTTTTGTGAACTTGGCACCCGACTTGCACAAATTTGCACCGTTTAGAAGTTATGATAAATTAACAATAAACAAAAAACGTAACTTTGGCAATTTTCAAGATATTCGAAATCTGTTTGCGGCATCTTACATAGAATCGTTTGTAGT